CTCTTACCGCAACATGAGGTATTAGTTATCCGATTATCGATGACGACGTGCGTCAACTAAGGAAGAAAAATTCAATCATGATACACACAACTCATAAATGTTATTGAACACGCTTATGGTGTTTTGAATGTGAGATTCCCAATCCTAAAGCAAATGAATCCTTTTCTTTTTTTCAGTGCAAAGAGACATAGTCATTGTTTGTTTTGCAGTCCATAAATTTATAAGGAAATGCAATATTCATGATGAATTATTTATGACGTCTAGGGAGAACATCGATCAAGCATAAGGGGGGGAGAGTGATGGAGAAAACGTACACGATATGGAATGGGGTTCACAAGGCAGGAAATACATGACTAGTTTGCATAACCATATTGCGAATCAGTTGGTGTCAGATACTTCAAATTAAATTTGTAAGATTTTATTTGGATTTCAGTATGATTTCATAGATTTAAAAATATCTGTGTTTGATTTGGATTTGTGTTTAATTTTAATTTATGTTCAATTTGGATTTTGTATGGTGTTTATATATTATTTTTATAATTATTTAACAAATTGGTTTGATTATTTTATAAACAAACACTTGAATTCATTAAAAATAAAATAGAAGAGTAAAATAATTATTTTTATAATTCAACACAACTATATATAGAGGTTCCAACTAGACACCATGTTAAAAATTTAAATTTAGACCACTTAATTAGATTTTAAAAATTCAAATCTTAGATCACCCTTGTGCCCTAAGAGTAGGGATGTTATTCGGGTCGGAACTGGATCGAACTGACCCGGACCCGAAAACCAAATAATGGTGATTGCATGAACCGAAAACCGAACCGATTAACCAATACAGGTTCGGGTATTAATCGATTCGGTTCGGTTATTACCCGAATAACCGAATAATATGTACAAGATGATTAAGGACCTAATATAACTGAAAAAAACCCGAACAAACCATATTATGATTTTATAACCCGAATAACCCGAATAATAAAATAACAATGTGCTTTTATACATCAACATAAAACATTCAAAGACTAACATAACACAACAACACATTGAAAGAATAACATTTACATTGTAGATTAACATAATGAGAATTAATTTCATACTTGAGTTTCTTGAGTTAGAGCCCAATTTTCCATGACTAGACAAAGTAGGAATTTGTGAATCCTTAGAGACAATAGGAATGGTTGATTTTTGAATGTTTGAAACAAGAGGAAGGATCTACGGGAGTGATTTCGAATTTGGAACTAGATGAGAAGATTGGTCGATTTTGAAACGATGAGAACAAGCGTAGGGTTTTTTTCTGTTATGAATGACGAGGACAAAAGTGTGAATCATGATTTTGATTTATGTCGATCAGAGAAAAGGGAGGAGGAATGCTTATTCGGGTTGGGTATTTAGAACCGAATAAGCTCTTATTTGGGTAACCTGAACCGAATAACCTGAGAACCGAATAAGCATAATATAGATACCCGAAACCCGAATCGAATTGCTTATTCAGACTTAATTCGGTTCGGTTCGGGTTTTCAGGCCGAATCCTCATCCCTACATAAGAGGGTGTTTGGGATTACTTTTGAAATGACTTTTGACTTTCAACTTTTTTAAAAAGTCAAAAAGATGTTTGGGAGATACAAAAGTTATTTTCAAAAATAACTTTTGTTATTGAAGAAAAATGTGAGGTTTCAAAAGTTAGGAAAGTGTGATTTTTGTGACTTTTAGCATTTTAAAGCTAAATTACACTCAAAAGTCAAGAAATGCAACCCAAACACTTTTTAAAAATAACTTTCGCCTTTTTCCTCCTCAAAAATTAAACTAAAAAGAACTTTTAAGTTCAAAAAGTAATCCCAAACACCCCCTAAATAAATAGTAGAAACGAAGGTCAAGTTCACAGTATATATATATATATATATATATATATATATATATATATATATATATATATATATATATATATATATATATATATATATATATATATATATATATATATATATATATATATACTCGCGCGTTGCGCAAAATACTACAATATATTTGAAATTTTTACAAATATATGTTTTTTAAATATATCAATGACATTGTTATTAGCTTTTATATAATAAATCTTATAATAAGTTGGTATAAACATTGTTTGTTTTAAATTATATGATAATGTAGATATCTTTTAAAATTGTATAATCCTAAGTATCTTAATAACGTCTACCTGCAGCTTACTTATGAATAAAATTAAATATAATATATGATTTAATGATATTTATAGTTGTTGTTATGATTAATTAATTTTAAAAAGTTTATTTGCTTAAGATTTTAATTTCTACCATTGTAATTATTTAAAACATCAAACATTGTTTTTGTTTTTAAAGACAACAATATAATTTTTATATATAATTTTACTTTTAACTATTGTTGTTGTAAGTTATTTAAAATAACGTATTTCGAAACTCTTAATTATTTTAATTTGGTTTCTGAAATTTAATGTTTTTAAAATTTATTTGATGAATATTGTTAGTTTCTATGATTGTAGTTATTTTAAATAAAAAACATTGTTTTTGTTTTTAATGAAAATATTATAGTTTTTTTATATAATATTACTTTTTACTATTCTTATTATAACTTATTTTTAAGCTATTTATTTGAAAATTATTAATGATTATAAGGAATAGTTTCATGGTTTTTTTTTTGTTAATTTAGGATTATAATTTAGGTTTAACATTATAATTTATAATCTTTAACTATTTATAAAACAGTCTCTCGATTTTTTTCATGTTTAATTGAAATTTTTATTTAAGTTAATTGTTTAATATTATATTGAAATTAATAATTTAACTATTTTGCATCAACTTATAAATTATACAAATATTGTGACTTTAAAATGCTAATTGCTCACATATAACAACATATTTAAACTAATAAGTTAACTATAGCATGTTAAAAAGTTAAAGTCATGATTTTATAAATATAAATATAATATGAGATTTTAATATTGTAGTTTAGTCAATCATTTGAATGACTTCTACCGGCGAGTTACACATGAATAAAATTAAATATAATATATGGTTTAATGTTATTTATAATGGTTGTTATTGTTAATTAATTTTTTAAAATTTATTTGCTTAACGTTTTAATTTCTATCATTATAATTTTTTAAAACACCAAACATTGTCTTTTTATTTTAAAGGTAACAATATAATCATTTATATAGAGTTATCTTTAACTATTGTTATTGTAAGTTATTTTAAGCTATTTATTTGAAAACTTTTAAACGATTATAAAAATATCTTTAGGAAATATTTTAGTTAAATTGAGATTAGAATTAAGTTTTTGCATCTATCACTACAATTTATCACTTTTAACTATTTACAAAATATTCTTTGGTTTTTTAAGTGGAACTGAAATTTATATCTAAGTTGATACTGCAATGTTATATTTAAATTAATAATTTAAATATTTTGTCCAAACTGTTCAAAAGTTGTAGCTTTAAACTGATAATGGTTTACATACAACAACATTTTAAATCTAATAAATTAAGTATAATATATTAAAAGTTAAAGACATAACTTTATAAGTAGAAGTAAATATATTATTTTAAAATTGAAATTTAGTTGATTTATGATTACACTTTAGGTTTGATATTTATTTAACTTTATTAACAAACTTATAATCATTATTAAAAAGACACTACAATTTAACACTTTAACTATTTACAAAATATTTTTTTGGGTTGTTTAAGTTAAACTAAAATTTATATTTAAGTTGACCCTGTAATGTTATATTTAAATTAATAATTTAAGTATTTTATACAAATTGCTCCAAAATTATATCTTTAAAATGATAATGGTTTACATCTAATACTGTATTAAAACTAATAAATTAAATATAATATGTTAAAAGTTAAAAAAATATAACTTTATCAATAGAAATAAAGATATATTGAAATTTAGTTTATATATGATTACACTTTAGGTTTGATATTTATTTAACTTGCTAACCAATTTATAATTATTGTTAGAAAGAAATTGAAAAGTCATTTGAAATGAATATGATAAAAGAAAAAATATATGGAAGTTTGGAAAGGAAATTGAAAATGTTGTGCTAGTCCCGCCAAAACCACCTATGGGGCAAGTCTTAACGGTGGTCGCAGGTTCTTCGTCTCCAGCATTTCCGTCACTCCTCTGCTCAACCACCGCAGTCCTCCTCTGCTCCGAAGATGCTTCCAAATATATTAACATGATGCTTCGAAACGACGGGGCCACATATGGCAGTTCACTGCCTCCCCTAGTTTCCTTTATCACATCAAAATTTCCTGGTTTGTTTTCTTTTTTCTATCATTCAAGCAATAGTCACAATATCCACCTCCGTACTGGACTTATGCTGACAACCTGATCGTTTTTACCCAATACTCAGCCCCATAATCGATCCCTGTTGCAAGTCTTAGTCGTATACTCATTGCTGCTGTTAATTTAGAGTAGGACTATTCGACTTTGTTATTAATCTGGTGACACTTATTTTGGTGTAGGTTTAGTAATGCGATCTAATAAAATGATATGTTCGGTTTTTGGGGATTTAGTTGAATTGGGTTTTGTAGTTAGGTATGCTTCAGGGTTGTTGAAGAAAAAAAAAAGGATGAACTAAATGAAGAAGACGAGGGGATAAAAATGATATACCAGATGAGGGAAAAAGTTAACTGCGGGCAGTTGACCTCGGAGGAACGAAAAGTTTGAGGTATTCTTATAATATGGACCATAGGATGATTTTTATAATTAAGTCAAAATTTTATCTTAAAATATATATGTATCACATCTAGTGTTATACTTAAAAACTCAAAGAAGTACATAAATGACAGCTTTTATTGTTTGAGTATTTCACCCACTGAGATTCATAATACATGCCAGACCTCTCTCTCTCTCTCTCTCTCTCTCTCATATAAACTAGTTGTATCTATCTATCTATCTCTATTCAATCACGTGGCAGAGGTGCTGTTTCAGAATTTGTTCTATCTGATGGATGCGGCTTTGCATGGAGGAGAAAGTAGTAATCAACAGGGTGTCTCAAGTGACCGGAGAGTTTATCAGAAGGCTGCGCTTCTTGTCCATATTGTAATCATTTTCTTTGGCTTACAACATTTCTTTTTCATCCATAAGAGTGTATTTATACAGAGGAAAAATACAAATACCAAAATTTCATTGATTATAATACCAACATTACATTAATCCTAACCGATACATCACTTTAATCGTGATTGATACTTGCCAAGTGTTGGTTAAATCTACTATTTTTTAAGTTATTAACTGCTGTTTGCTATTTCTAGGCTGAAGATGGAAATGGTTTACCAGAGGAAATCCTCGAGTTACCAAACTCTGAAACTGCAAAGTTGTATTGCATATTCATCCGCTTTAACATTATACGGAAACTTAATTGTTTTGCACTCATAACTTTGAATTTCTTTGAGGTTAGTCATCTTTTCTATAAACGACTTTCTGATTATCTTAAGTTACTGTTGTAGCTTTTTCTATCATGACTATTACTTATTCTTATTACTTTCAAAATCTACAACAGAAACCATTATGGTGTAGCAGTGTTTCCAAAATCTCTTGTGGTAACAGAGACTACTATTATCTTGGGGAGCTTCCATACTTGACTAATGCAGGATCTTTGGCATATAAGGTTTGAGTCCTGTGTATTATGTAGAAACTTATCGATTGGAACCTTATTGTAAAAATATAAAACGTCTCATTCTTTTATTGTTTTCCTGCCTGTATAAAAACCCAAATTTCTCATGTTGTATATAACTATATAACTATATATATGAAGGTAATCTAAATGATTGACAATTGACCTATTATCTTATGCAGGGTGTGACCCTGACAATTCTTGTGGTGCATACTCTGTTTCCTATTTTATATAAAGGAGGTCAGCTCTATTGGAGAAGCCATGTTAATAAGCTGAAGGTACACGATTGAAATTGCTAAAAATCCTGCACATGAAATTGCTATATGAAGTTTATTATCTGATTATATTCAACTGAGTGTGTTTTCAGGCAATTGCACTGTTAATTCTGGCTGCTGATTTAATAGTTGATATCCTCAATCTCTCTCCAGTGGCCATATATTCTTTTCCATTGAGGATTGCACCTTTTTTTAGGGTTGTTTTCTTTATCTTGAGCATCAGGTATGGCATGAATACATACAAAACAGTCCAATATGATATTAACTGTATCCCAAGTGAGTGACACAAGAATCAATATTAATGGCAACAATGAGAAAATTAACAGGATGACTATGTTATGTGGTGAGGCTAATTTCTTTTTTATTTATCTTGACTTAGGGATTTACAAGACAGCCTCATCATATTGGCTGGAATGCTTGGCACATATCTCAATGTTATGGTTTGTATTCCATAACCTTATCATAAATTTATACTTTCACATCACATTACTTGGATCATCATTTATAATTGCTGATAAATTATTTCTTGAATGCAGATTTTGTCACTTTTGTTTCTTCTGATCTCCAGTTGGTTAGCTCAAGTCATCTTTGAAGACACTCAACAGGGAACTACAATCTTTGTTTCTTACCGAGCTACATTGTATCAAATGTTCCTTCTATTTTCCACATCCAACAATCCAGATGTTTGGATTCCAGCCTACAAGTGAGTTGCTTAATGTCCATGAATATAGTCCAGCTTAGGGTCTGCTTCTTTTTTTATTTTTTATTCCCATCAAGTCCAATATGGATAAAGTGGATGAATGGCTAATGATGTCTATCTGGATATAGTGCTGTATACACAGGTCTGTTTCTGTTCTAGACTACATAACCATCTGAATGAGACTAAATGACCATTTTACCCTTACATTCCAATTTTTTCCCGAATTCATCAATTTTAACGTGAGAGGATTGGGAGGAAAAAAAGAACAAATAGGTAAAGGGTTAGTGTCATAACACATTAAGCCATGTTTTTTTTTTGCTTAACCCATTAAGTCAAAAAAGAAAAGTCATATATAGCTATCCAGATTAAGTGTTTAACTCATTAAGCTCATTTAGTCAAAAGAAGCAACCCCTTAGTCTGAAATGCATAAAATAATGTGTATATATATGCAACTATAGCTTTTAAAATGACTTCTTATGTTCTCCATGAGCTTTTACCATATTTTTGTTTCCATCCATAGTAGTAATGTGTCTCCCTCTTCTTTCCAGATCATCAAGATGGTCTTCCCTTTTTTTTTGTTCTTTATGTCCTTCTGGGTGCTTACTTTTTCACAAACTTGATTCTTGCTGTTGTGTATAATGGCTTTAAATCTGAGGTACATCTTTCTTGAATCCTTTATATTTCTTTAATGATTACTTCTGAAAGTCCATCTAATAATTTCAATTCATGTTGATGTTCCAAGTTTCTCCGAGTAAACAACTCATATCTTTGGCCAAATTCACTGAAACTCAGAAATAACTGCTTTAAGTTTATTGAATTTGAATCGTTCCACTCCAGTTCTTTAGGGATTGATATTTTAGTAACTCTGATTATATAATTTTATTTTACCTTAGGATAGAACTTGTTACACATGCCAATTTAACTGCAGCTAGCTAAACAAGTTGGTAAGAAGGACCGAATGAAGACAAGAATATTGGGTAGAGCCTTTAATCTCATTGATGAAAATGTGAGTACAAGTCATTAATGTTGTGAAATTTCCTTCAAGGCAAACATAATCTTCTCATCCAATTCCTTTTTAAATCAACAGGCTGTTGGCACTCTTGATAAGAATCAATGTTTCCAATTGTTTGAAGAACTTAATAAATATAGGTAAGTAATTCTCTTTCTGAAAAATACATATATTACACTTGTGCCCCCCATCTTGAAGCATTCCTATTCAGGGCACTAAAAAGCACCTTTTATACAGGACACTGGCAAAAATATCAAAACAAGACTTTGAGTTGATATTTGATGCACTGGATGACAGCCATGATTCTAAGGTAATTTTTGGTCTATAGCCTCTTGTTGGAATGAATTACTGAAATAATTCTTCTTCCCAATGTTATACATAGAATGGATTCTTATCCCTTTAGTCTTTCTAGCTATTGCATGCAACGAAAATCACTTGGAATTTTTCTTATATGTTTATATTTTCATGTAGATTGATGCATCGGAATTCAATGATCTTTGCAATGCAATTGATATAAAGTTTCAAGAGGAGTAAGTTGCTATTAATGATGCACATTTTTTTTTATCAATTTCATATGGAATAACAAAAAATCTGTATCTAACTCATCTTTTGTTTTGTTGTGCCTTCATTTTGCAGGAACCTTGGTTAAGAAAGTTCCCCTTCTATAATTCTTCCTTCTCTGAAATACTGAGAGACTGTGTAAGAAGTAAAATGTTTGAACGTGTAGTTGTTTTCCTTCTCCTCTTGAATCTGGCTTCTATTATTATCGAAAGGATGGTATGACCTAAATCCTTGATGGCTACTTTTATTTTTTCCCATTACCACATTTTCAATTTTTTCTTTATTGAGGCATTGTACTTTCAAAAATCAATCCAGTTATACGTTATAACATTGTACTTTCAGTTTTTATCTTATTAGAACATTATACTTGGAAAATTTCACCTATTTATAAAATGTAAATCATTTGTATTTGTATGATATTGCAAGTTTTGGGTAGATTTTTCAAAGTACAATGTTGTTGTAATAGAAAGGCTATAGTAAACAAGTCAATGAAACTGTATTGATATTTCTTGCATTTAACCCTATTCTTAATGTGATTGTTGAATCAATTACTTAACTAATGATGTACATTCTGACTCTTTCTTGGACAGCTTGATACAAAAAACAACTCTGGTCAGAAGTTCATGCAGAAGGTGGAGTTGGTGTTTGGTAAAGAAAAACTGATACTTTATATTTGTTTATGTTCACCCATCTTTGTTTAAAATATAATCTTTGGTTTAAACTTTAAAGTAATATACTAATTCATTTAACAGCAGATTGATAATTTCTTTTGCATGCAGGTTGGATATATGTAATCGAGATGGCTTTGAAAGTTTATGCATATGGATTTGAAAACTACTGGAGAAATAGTCAAAATCGATTTGACTTCATTGTCACGTGGTTCATAGGTACATTTCACAATTCCAGTACTAGTTTATGTGATTCTTCCTCTTTCAATGGGCAGAGTGCAGACATATAAAATAAGTAAATGATAACTTTTTCCTTGTATGAATGTTTGCAGTTATTGGAGAAACAATAACATTCATATCTCCAAAGGAGCTAGAGTTCACTTCAAATGGGGAGTGGTAAGGCTGTAATATCTTTTAAGTTTTAATTAATGAGATGCTATACATATATTTCGTTCAAAATTCTGTTGAATTGCAAAATTTATATATCTCTATATTGTTTCCAAATACGCACTTCTAAACATTGCTCCTAAAGGCTAAAGATATTCTTATTTTCCATTGTATTGTTTCCAGGATTCGCTATCTTCTAATTGCAAGGATGATAAGACCGATTAGGCTCATAACACGTGTTCATAGTTTTCATGCCTTTGGTAGTGTATTTTTAACAGTGATCCCAAGTTTGATGCCATACCTGGGCACCATCTTTTGTGTTATGTGCATTTACTGTTCCATGGGTATACAGGTACTTCATATGTGTGTGTGTGTGTGTGTGTGTATATATATATATATATATATATATATAACTTGCAAAATATATCTGTAATCATTACAACTTAGTCTTTTCCTTATGGTGCCTAGATCTTTGGTGGGAAAGTCAATGCTGGGAACCCAGATGTACCAAGTACAGATCTTGCTGATAACGAGTATCCTACATGAATCATTTGCTACAATGCTTTATTTATTATTCACTATATTTATTATTATGAAGCACCTTTCATCTAATATCTTCTTATACATATAAAATGAATCTAATATTCGGGCTTAGACAATGATATATTGTTAGCTTCTCACGTGCTATTTAATTTCCCACATATGCATGGGTTACTAAGTAAATTTCCCTTGACTCTATCAGTTACTTGTTATTTAATTTTAATGACTACCCAAATGGCATGGTGACCCTTTTCAATTTGCTTGTGATGGGAAACTGGCAAGTTTGGATGCAGGTATGATTGATTTATTTGCAAGTTATATATGTATTGTATACTATCGATGATTAAGATGTTCATAATGCATCAAGTAAAAAAAGAAACAGCATCATTTTCATTTAATAAAAAAACGACATTAAATTTCAGGCTTATTATACTAGGTTTAACCAAAACAATTCTATCAGTATGTTTCTTTTTCTTCCATCAAAATGATGTGTATATGAAGCAAAGACTATTCTTTTTTTACTGAGTGAGAGTAAATGACCATTTTATCCTTTTGTATAGAAGTAATCAAGTCCATTATATGAAAAAGTCAAAAAGAAACAGACGATAAAATTTATCCTTCTTACCTTTGAAAAATGCTCTTTCTCATCATTTATATGAGTATGACCTCAGAGGACATATTAAATTTGCATTTTCAGTTTTTTATTGAGCATAGAAAATATGAAATATTTAGATTGTAATTTATTTAATTACTTCAGGATTATGGGATGTTGACAGGAAGTAGTTGGACCTATGTGTACTTCATCAGCTTTTATCTAATAACAGTTCTACTCATCCTCAACTTGGTGAGTCTTAGTGATTAGTATTCAAGGCACCCACATTTTTATTATTATCAATTTTAATTGCCAAACATATATATATATATATATATATATATATATATATATATATATATATATATATATATCATATGCACAAAACATCGCTCATAGATCCACCAAATTCCACCTATCTGTTCGGTTCTCAGGGATTACAATGACAGATTATAGCAGAAATAATAATAATAGAACCATGAATCTATTTGCATTTGTTTGGATTTTGGAAAGAAAGAACAGTTTTGCATTATAGCAGAAACTTCTTTTAATCATTTGTAGATCGTGGCATTTGTGTTGGAGGCATTCTTTGCTGAGATAGACCTGGAAGGTTCTGAGCAAGAAGAAGAAGAAGAACATCGGGAGGTTAGTGATGTTCAATTAAATCATATGTTACCATATCAAATTATCAACTTCATTTCCAAGTTCCACTTTCAAAAAGGCTTCTAATTGGTTTGCATCACTAAGCTTTGGTATAATAGCCAGATCCCAGATATAATGTGTTGAAGCTCAAATGGTTGATATGTGTTTAGTATACCACAAATAAATTGCTATTGTAGTTGCATTGATTTTGATTTGAAATAATAAATAATTGTTATTATTTTTATTATTTCTTTTTTGGTGGTAATGAAAATTCATATTCATCTTTACCATCATTACAATATTTAATTATCGTATTTTATAATTTAAATCCAGGAAACTGGAGGGAGGAGACGCTGTGCCATAGGGTAAGTAACTACATAAGCAGCTCATATTTTAGTTGTGAATACATACTCAATACCCATTTCAAATTTTCAATGGTGTAGGAAATAGCAACCCACTTTCATTTATTAATTTACTCTATTATTTCTTCTATTACAATGTTGTACTCTAATTTTATTTCATAATTGTACTTAAAAAAAATACCCAATTATAACATTGTAGTTTATCTAATCAATTGTAACAATGAAACTTGCTTTGTAAATAGATTCTTCAAAGTACAATGTTATAACAAGAAATGAAAGTATAATGTTATAATAAAGAAATCAATGAAAGTACATTGCTATTTTTTGCATTTAACAAAAACTTTGTGATAAATTTGTCAGCACAAAAACACGCAATCGTAGGACTGATATTCTACTTCACCAAATGCTGAGTGCAGAGCTGCATGAAATACAGAGACGTTCTGAACCTTAAATGTATAAATTTCTCTTGGTATATCTATAGAAAATAAATTAATTACTACACCTAATTCATCTTATTCATGCTTTTTGTGTTTCTGATATGTGCTTACAGATGTAAAGGAAAACGATTACACTGATTGCAACAGTTACAATTCCCTACTTTTCTGCTTGAGGCCAATTTCTAATGTTTATATGGAAGTGGATAACAAAAGCCTATCGAGATAGAGAATTTATTTTGGTTTTCTTGCTTCAACATAAAACCCAAATTATTTTGATACTTCTTTTATGTGGACTGGTTTTTTTAACTTGTAGATAGAAACTTTTGATACTACTTATGTGGATTGATATTCTAATAAATTTAATTTATATGTCGTAATTATTACTTGCTACTTCATTTTACATCTTAATCATCTACAATGTTTACTTCTTCATAGTTAGTCATCCTACAACATATCCTCGTATAATCATTACTTTTTGTACTTGATACATTTAAAAAATCAAGCCGTGGAGGACTTTGTAAGATATTAGAATAAAGAGAACTTTCATTTTGCGGGTTACTATTCTCTTTCCTCTTATATAGGGGTGACAAACCGGGCAATCGTGTCGTGTTTTTATCTAACCGGACACGACAAAACAAATTTTTTATGTAACATGAACACGACACGAAACGATGTCGTGTTTTTTTAACTAACATGAAAACGAACCAATTAAAAAACAAAAAACACGACAAAGATAACATAAAATAACAATTAGTTTACTTAGTTAATACTTAATCATACATAACACGATAAACACGACAAATAAATGCTAAATCGTGTCAATTTCGTGTCGAATTTTGAACACGAACACGACATTGTGTTTTTTACACTTGACACGAACACGACACGGACATGAATTCAAATTTCAGTTTCATCCTAATTTCGTTTCGTGTCGTGTCATGAATTGACACCCCTACTCATATATGTCTTAAAATTTCTTAGCTTTCAATCATAAGGTCATTGGGTATATACTCCATACGGAGCTTCCGTAACCATGATGTGGCAAGACATTTTACACATGAGCACAACTCAAAATGGGTGCAAACGTGCAATTTGTGGTGTGGAGTGAATCCCTTTATGGAGAGAGAGAGCTCTCTCTCTCTCTCTCTCTCTCTATATATATATATATATATATATATATATATATATACACACACACGTAAACATCACCATCTTGGGTTGTGATGGTGTTGGTGGGGTGGTCTTGTGACGAGGTGGACGCCCCTCCCGTCTTGCATACCGTATGACCTAACATATATCGTGCCCTTTATGGTATATGAACTTCACAAAATAGCCAATACAAATATCTTTATTGCATAAAAGTAAACACCATAGCTTAAACAACTTGGTCTCGCAACTTGAAAACTTGAACTCTTTGTCATATCTCATACATACATGTCTCACTATATGAACCAAGTCCATTAATGCGATAACTTGGTTTAGTTGTGCTTTCAGACTAAAATGACGTACCATGTATTGTATAGAATGAATATAATAAGTCAGTCATATGAGATCACATGAGATCTCTGTATGTAATGGAACATCTTTTGTGTGAGTTACCTGATCTAGTCATCAAAAATTTAATTTCAAAAATATTTTTATAAAAAGAGCATCACTTAAAAGAATCACTTTGCATATGAAAACCTCAGATAGTCAAGTTCTTAACATTTGAAAATATTTAAATTGTTAAAGCATACGAGGGTGTAACAAGATAATCAAGTGGCAATAGTTTAAAGTAAACATTTATAAATTCATCTTAAATTCAAAATAAAGAATCATCTAAATATCCAAGTGATAAATCCATCATTGGTCTTCAACTAAGTCTTTCGACCCGAATACATGTCAAAATCCAAGATTAGGCTTGACAAACCTAATCAGCATTTTCGGAACCAACCTAGGTGTGGTGTTGAATAATGTTAACAACCCAAACCTAAATTAAAACTCCTAAAACCTTTTCTTAACATAAAAAATATTGGTAGCATTTATATTTAGGGACAAGAAGCATTTAAAATATAAGTATTGCCAATTCATCATAACAGGTCAATAATAACAAAACATCACTACTAAAATTGCAATGCATATGCTTCTATTTTCCTGATGTACAAGTCTCTACTCTTATAAAACCCATTTTTTCTGTAAAGGTCATGACAACTCGAAGCAAAAACAAGATATTAGCACTTTTAACTTTTTTTTATCCAACATTTAAAAATATTTATTAACAATAATAATGAATTTTTTTCTCATGTAGTATAAAACTTATAAAACATTTCGTCTGATATGTAAAGTAAAAGGCGGTGTCATTGGATTTCACGAACAATAAAATTAAATCTCAAAACAAAAAGCTAAAGATCAAACTCTCAAACTCTTAAAAACATTCCCTCTAAATTTGAACACCATCTTTATCTTCTCAAGTCATAGTTCTCTCGGTAATGTCGTTAAACAGCTTCAAGGAAATTCTCAAACCCTGTGCATACCAGTCAAAATCACCATCTTCCTCTTCATACTCACAAACCGCGTCGACTCTAAACCCTAGAAAACCACCCAAATCTTCCCTCTCTCAGCAACTGTTACGACTCGAAGATGATTATAGTTTCTTATCCACCTTGCTTCCTACAAAACAATCGAAGGAATTTAGTCAATTTAAGCAACAAGATCCACCGGTCGATGATGTTATCGAAGGAAAATTTGAAGACGAGGAGGAAAAAAATAAAGATTTAGAAAAACAAAATGGGTTTCGGATTGCAAGACCTAAGTTGGAAGCCCCTCAATTTTTTGATCCTACTGGACCTTATGAACCTCTGGTGCTTTCCGAATCCGGCCAAAATCCTGTTGTGCAGGTAAATTATGAAAACCCTTCTAAATTAATGAATTCCACAAGTACGGAAGTACCTATCTTGTGATTTTTTTGCTGTGTTTAATGTTCTATTTATGTTTTTGATTGTTGTATTCTATGTTAAGCTAGAGGGAAAAGTAGGTAATGAAATACTTAAGGGTGTTTGGATGTGCAATTTCAAAGTGATTATTGTTAGTTCAAGAATAGAATCAAATAATCAGTAGTTTAATTTAAAATAAGGGATATATTGGATAACTTTATATTGTTTCTTGAATCAATGGATTGTTGGGTAATATCATATTAATCTTGAGAATCTGTTTTCTTGCCACTAAGATGAGTCAAAAATAGCATCGATATTTGACAGTTGGGAAATTTTAAGTTTTTGCTTAAAGTTGGCCATTTTTGGGTGCTGTTTCCTTAATACTTATTAGGCTTAACTGGACAACACTTAATCTATGGATGAAAGTTTAGGAGATTTATCATCTGACAAACTGTTCTCCAGGTACCTGCTTCCATAAATTGCAGGCTGCTAGAACATCAAAGAAGTGGTGTAAAGTTTTTGTACAACTTATACAAGAAGAACCATGGAGGCATTCTTGGGGATGACATGTGAGTAATCTATAAAAAGATATTTTATAAATAAAGTTGTCATTGATATTTCATGTTTTCTTTAAATGTGTTGCCATACAGGCATAAAAAAATATATGCAACTACATATGTGTATTATTACAACTTTTTTCATCAACTTGCAATCCAATCAAATGATGAAATGAACATGCTTAACTAATACACAATTTGATGAATTTTTTTGGTTGAAAACTTGTTTGATTTCATTTTCCCAACATTTTTCATGGTTTTGCTTTATGATTGGTCAGAGTTAAGTTTCTTTTCCTAACTTATCAGGGGATTAGGGAAAACTATCCAAGCAATTGCATTTCTTTCTGCCATATACAAAAAAGATGAAGATGATGACAACACAACAAATCCAAACAAGAACAAACAAGAAACAAAAGGTCCTGTCCTAATAATCTGTCCATCTTCTGTAATCCAAAACTGGGAAATCGAATTCTCCAAATGGTCAACATTCAAAGTTGCTATATACCATGGTGCCAATCGTGACATAATCTTCAACAAAATCGAATCTCATGGGATTGAAGTACTTATAACAAGTTTCGATACATACAGAATCCATGGAAACATTTTATCCGAATTAAATTGGGAAGTTGTGATAGTCGATGAAGCTCATCGGCTCAAAAACGAAAAATCAAAACTTTATGAAGCCTGTTTATCCATCAAAACCCTAAAAAGATACGGTTTAACAGGAACCATAATGCAAAACAAAATCATGGAATTATTTAATCTATTCGATTGGGTGGTTCCAGGGGGTTTGGGGACCCGTGAACATTTCAGGGATTACTATGATGAGCCTTTGAAACATGGGCAAAGATCAAGTGCTCCTGCAAGATTTGTTAAAATTGCTGAAGAGAGGAAACAACATTTGGTGTCAGTTTTGGGGAAATTTTTGTTGAGAAGAACAAAAGAGGAGACGATTGGACATCTTATGATGGGTAAAGAAGATAATGTTGTGTTTTGTGCTATGAGTGAGGTGCAAAAAAGGGTTTATCAAAGGATGCTGCAATTACCTGATGTTCAATGTCTTATTAATAAGGATCTCCCTTGTAGCTGTGGGAGCCCACTTAAGCAAGTGGAATGTTGTAAAAGAATTGTCCCAAATGGTGTTATTTGGCCTTATCTTCATAAGGATAATCCTGATGGTTGTGATTCGTGCCCTTTTTGTCTTGTTCTTCCTTGCCTCACCAAGCTCCAACAGGTAAAATCTTTTTATTGGATAAATTCATTGAGATTTTATAATAATTGAGCAGCTAAATTGATAAAATGGTGAAACTGTGATGTTGCTTCCTTCACATATTCTAATAAGAGTTGATAATTACAGATAAGCAATCATTTGGAGCTTATTAAACCTAATCCAAGGGATGACTCAGATAAAGTGAAGAAAGACAAGGAATTTGCCTCGGCTGTTTTTGGTACAGATATTGATCTGGTGGGAGGGTATTATCAAAACGAGAGTTTTATGGGTCTAAGTGATGTTCAACATTGTGGGAAGATGAGAGCTTTAGATAATTTGATGACATCTTGGATTGTAAAGGGGGATAAGATTCTTCTCTTTAGTTACTCTGTCAGGTAATTTGATTTATGTTAAAAGCTCAGTTTACTCTTCTACTACATTTCTAATACACAAAATATGAAGGTTTATATGCAGGCAATAGCAACATACTTTCATTTATTTGTGAGATATAGCATTTTACTTTCGTTCCCTTCTATTACAACATTGTACTTCCAGTTTATTTCTTTAAATTGCATTGTACATTGAAAAAAAATCTACCCAATTAGAGCATTTAAAATTGCTTTGTATTTGGATGACATTGTTGTAATTGGTAGATTTTTCAAAGTATAATGCTGTAATAGAAAGAAATGAACGTTAGAATCTGTAACAAACAAATCAGTGAAAGTATTTTGCTGTTGCTTGCATTTAACCCTCTATAATATGAAGAATTTTATGCAAGAATAAAAAACATACCTTCCTTGGTTTGTTTATTATAGCATCTTACTTTCATTTGTTATTATTACAACGTTAAATTCTGAAAAATGTACCCAATTATAGCAATGCCATCCAGAGACAAAGCAATTTTCATTGCTAAAAATAAGGTGGATTCGTCAAAATATAATATCTTGATAAGATAAAAATTGGAAGTAAAATTCTACAAATGAGTAGATTTTTCAAAGTAAGATGCCTTAAAAAGAAAAGAATTGGAAGTACTTTATTGTAACACTGTAACTAAAAATAGGATGCTATAATTCACAAGTAAATGAAAGCATATTGCTATTTGTTGCATTTAGCTAAATTATGGATAAGAGTAATTTATGTCTAGTACTTGGGTAAACATTTTTGTTAGATACTTAGGTATTGTTTGGTATGAAGGAATGGGGAAAGGGATGGAATGGTTCTTTCCCTTGGGATGACAAAAAACTGTTTGCCTTTTCTGATGGAATGGAATTAACCATTCCTGAAGGAATTTGATTCCTTTCGTTTTTATGTAATGTAGCAATGTGAAGATAGATAGATATACATAATACAATCATAAAGGAAAGGATTGTATTGTTGTAATGTAGGATGCTGGATATACTTGAAAAGTTTCTTATACGCAAAGGATACAGTTTTTCAAGGCTTGATGGGTCTACCCCAACTGGCATACGCCAATCTCTAGTTGATCACTTCAATTCAAGTCCAAGCAAACAGGTCGATTCCTGTGCCTTTTTTTTTTTTTTTTTTCTATCCACAATGGCATTGTTACTTATTATGTTTTTACCAATAGTAACGTTACTTTATCTCTTATGATTCATGGGTGAAAAATAAATTACAAAGTAGAGTGTAAAATGTTGTGATTTCAGGTTTTCCTCATATCGACCCGTGCGGGTGGGCTTGGGCTGAATCTTGTGAGTGCGAACCGTGTGGTTATATTTGACCCGAATTGGAACCCGGCCCATGATCTGCAGGCCCAGGACCGGTCTTTTCGGTTTGGACAGAAGCGGCATGTGGTGGTGTTCCGGATGCTGGCGGCTGGTTCCCTTGAAGAACTTGTTTACACCCGTCAAGTCTACAAACAACAGCTCTCTAATATTGCTGTTTCTGGGAAACTTGAAAAACGTTATTTTGAAGGTGTCCAGGTAGGTTTAATTATATATTATAGGAAACATTTCAATTTCATTCTCTTGAGAATTATCTATCAAAATTCAAACACACCCTTTCTTTTTTTTTGATCTAGGATTGCAAGGAGTTCCAAGGAGAGCTTTTCGGGATCAGCAATTTGTTTCGTGATTTGTCAGACAAACTGTTCACAAGTGAGATCATTCAATCACATGAAAAGCAAGGAACAGATGATACTGAAAAAAAACAAACTTTGTCTGATTTCGGGATGTGTTTTCTTCCTCCACAATCACGGGAAACATTTTCTTTAGAATCCCAAAGCCCTGATATGTTGGGTAAGTTTTTTTTTTCTTTTTTTTTTTTTTAAATCTTTGCTTTATGAATTGCCTTACTAGGCAAATAATTCTGTTATAGAATTCCACTCCTCAACCGCAGGCCTTCTCCCATCACAGGGGTAAAATGGTAAAAATACTTTACGCATTGTGCCTTTTAGGAAAATTGGCTTTTTAAAACTGTCAGGTTAAATAGTTAAAGTAGCTGGATTGATAAAACGACGGAAACTGAAAAGACAATGTAATTTCAGAATTTCACCACTAAACTATTAGTTGTTTAAATTGTTATAATAATAGTGCAGGGGCTAAATCGATTAAAAACAAATAGTTTGCTAGCAAAATCGATAAAGAATGATAGTTCAGTGGCTAAATTAGTAAAATGGTGAAATTACAATGAAAGTAACATGCTATAATGCACAAATAAATGAAAGTACGTTGCTATTTTCTACATATAACAAAGATTTATATTCATCCATATTACTCCCATTTTATCGAAGATTCACATTTTTGGTTACTGTTTGAGTTCATCATAACGAAAATAATAAAATTGGAAGTACAATGTTATATTACTGATAATGTTTTTTTTCAGGTATTGTTTACGCGCATCGTAATGAGGATATCATCAGTCATGGGCGTGGATGCAAAGTGACACAAGAAGTGGGTCCATCCACCGAAATTCCCATTTTGCCCCCGGTCCCTAAGAATAAGAAGAAACCAATTACAATTACAGTTACACATAGTGACAATGAAAATGGAAAAGCTTCACGTAAAATGAAGCAGTATAGGCTGGTTGCCCGGTTTATGGGCATGGAAGTAGTCGAGTTTAGCAAGTGGGTCCTATCAGCAAGTGTTAGTGAGAGAGAATGCGTATTACGAGACTTCAAAAGGCGAAAGGAGAAAATGCCCCTTACACTTTAGGTGAATGAATATAACATACATATTGTACAATGTAAATGTTGTAATCATAGAAGCTATTTAGATTTTCAAAAATACCCCTTGTGTATATTAGCTTTTTACGCAATTTGTTGTGCATCTTTTTGTTATAATAATTTTGTAAATTATACTATTCAACAAATATACCCAAATAAATTATTTGTATATTATCATTTCAAAATAATTGTAATATTGATAAAACAAACATGTTATTAAGTACAAAAAAATATGCTTATAACATATTTAAATAAATATTGCACATTCGTTTATAGAAATATTATACAATGCAAATGTGCATCAATGAAACTTTAACATCAAAATTGGTGCTAATGGATATTATAAGGTCATCAAATTTGGTGTAGGAAATGATGTTTGGATGGAGTTACTTCACACTAAAAACGGTGTTATGTTAATGTCATCAATACTATGTCCTTTGTTTTTTCGTTGATTATTGAAGTTGTTTAGAAATGTTTCAATTTCTTATATTTGGAAGATGAATGATGTATCTGATCTGACCGATGAATGATGTATCTGATCTGACCAATTCCTCTACAAAAAAAAAAAAAAAAAAAAAAAAAAAAAAAAAAAAAAAACCAAAAAGCTTTTGACTAAAGTGTAGCAACTTCATCATTCAAAAATTATATATGTAATGGATGTTAGGTATCACGTATCATCGGTATACGTCTGGTCAAGAATTCTTTTGTCAGTAATTATGAAAAGGCATGTGGTAGATGGATGGTGAGTCCTAGGTTTATGAAAACTATTTTTTTTAAGGGCCTAACTACTTTCATGGAATATGGGTATTAGGTCCTACCTTTTTTTTCTTAATAATAACACAAGGAATGTAAGGAAAAAAATGGAAACCTACCTTATCATTTTTAAAGGACATACCTTATAATCTTTGGCAAAATAATAATAATAATAATAATAATAATAATAAATTATATCCCATATTTTATATATTCCAATCCACTTAAAATAGTCCATTGCTTCAATCCATTTAAATTTAAACAAAAAAAAAGTCTCATTAAACGTGATCACTGATCAACATTTCCAAAAGCTTGACGCCTCATCACGTTCTTGCAGGCCTGATCGACCGATTCCACATTCCCACTGCCCGCCGTGCAGCCAGGCCACCGGCTATCGCCCACTGTCGCCCCTTCGCCAAGTACCACTGCATTTTGTCCTCTGTCCCTCTGCGCTTACCCCCTCCAGCAGCCCAACCTCTTGCTGCCTCCACTAGTATTTTTTACACTTATTTTTTTTTAGATATAATGAATATGGTGCTCAAGGTTGAACTTATACCCCACGTTTAGATTCTCACATCTTTTCCGCAAGAAAAAACATACGTAAACAAATTATAGAAAATTCAATAAGCTTAATTCTATTGTATATTCAAAATTCCCATATTATGAAAACCTAATTGAATATGCACCTAGATTTTTGACTCTCTGGTGGTTGCATCATACCAACTGGGCTTTAAAATCCTATCAAACGACATCTTTTGTGTGCTATGTCCATGACACCAATTGGTTTTTGGTTTAACTTTTATTATATAGTGGAAAAGATGTGAGCATGAAAGTTATACAAGGGGGAACCCACAACCAAATACAACAAAATTTGTGTGGGTCTAGTGTGATATTACTAATCGTATAAGTCAAATTATTGGTGTTTAAAAGTATTTCAATATGAAGATCTGATTTCAAAATCAAAAAGTTGATTAGAAATTAAAGGGGAAATTCTTTTGTGATATAAATTCGGGTAGTGATTTTACACAAATTTTTTGGAATTTCGGATTACCTAAAAATTAAAATTATGTATCTTCAATCTTTTAGTATGTACTTATTATTATAATGAAAAAACTTCATTTTAGCTATTTTTTTCTTATATCAAAATCAATAGAGATCTCAAATAACAAAGAGAGCTAAAGATTTTTTTCTTCTTTTTTATAATGGATTTTTCAACAAATACACATGCATAGTGCAAAATGGCGTTTTAGAAAAGGGATGATGACTTAAAGGGATAATGTATTTTTCGATTTGTACATATTTAGCCACTGAATTTTTTTTGGTCCACATTTATCCATTAAACTTAGGGATGAGCATATGGACCGGGGAACCGGCCGGAACCGGAACCCGATGGAACCGGTCGGGCCGGGACCGGTACTATAATCTCGTCAATTTTTGGAATCGGGAACCGGTAAGAACCGGTCGTTGGAACCGGCCCAAAACCGGAAACCGGACCGGATAACTCACTCAAATTTTGAAAGTTGCATAACTCACTCAATTTAACTTTTTTGACCCGAATCTTTTTCCTACATGTAGATTATGATTTGTACTTAAGTTTAGACTATAAAAACGATTGATTTGGTTAAAAATAGAATGAGTTACAAGCCCTCAAGGAAGGATATCAAATCAGAATTTTTTTTATGTTTCAGCAATAAAATGTAATCTGACTTTGTTGTTCAAATGTGCATAACTCACTCAATTTAACTTTTTTTGACCTGGATCTTTTTCCTACATTTAGATTAGGATTTGTAGTTAAGTTTAGACTATAAAAATGCTTGATTTGGTTAAAAATTGAATGAGTTACAAGCCCCGCAAGGAAGGGTGTCAAATCAGAATTTTTTTTTATGTTTTAGCAATTAAATGTAATCTGACTTTGTTGTTCAAATGTGCATAACTCACTCAATTTAACTTGTTTTGACCTGAATCTTTTTCCTACATGTAGATTAGGATTTGTAGTTAAGTTTAGACTATAAAAACGCTTGATTTGCTTAAAAACTGAATGAGTTACAAGCCCCGCAAGGAAGGGTGTCAAATCAGAATTTTTTTATGTTTCAGCAATTAAATATAATATGACTTTGTTGTTCAAATTTGCATAACTCACTCAATTTAACTTGTTTTGACCTGAATCTTTTTCCTACTTGTTTTGACCTGAATCTTATGACCAGTTGATGTGAGTTTAGCCAGTTTCCGATGGTCTTTTCATCTCCGGCGAGACTCTGGTCATATTCTCTTATCTGGCGAGTCTCTGGCCAACATGATTTTTCCGGAAAGTTGTAACATACACAAGTAAGGATTCGATTTTCAGATCAACAACTCAAGAACACACACACACACACACATCACACCAAATTTTGATTTTCAAATAAAAAATACAAGAACACACACACACACATCATATATGGGTATTTGAAATCGATCAGAGCATCGTGTTCTTGTTTGAGTTTTGAAAGCATGCTTGAGTTCTTGAACAGAAATCGACGTGTGTGTTCTTGAACAAAAATCGATATGTGTGTTTATATTCTTTCCAGAAATCAAATGATCTTCAAGGTTTGTAGATCTTCATCGTGTTCATCTTCTTCCCAGAAATCAAACGATCTCTAGAAGTGTTCGTGTGTATGTATTTATGCTCGAACATCAGATATGAGTTTTTGGCGCGATTTTCAGATATGTGTGTTCATGCTCGATTTTGGAACAACACACACACTTCTCTCTTCTCTCTTTTTTGAAGTCGGTTTTGGAACAACATCAACTGAAAACCATAAACTCTAAAACACGATCAACTGAATAGTACAAAAAAAGTTCAATAAGAAAATGTGGAGAAAAAAACTTAGTGATTAAATGTATACAAATAAAAAAATAGGTACCATTTTAAGTCATTATCCCTTTAGAAAATTAATATATATATATATATATATATATATATATATATATATATATATATATATATACACACACACACATGCACATATGTTCATGTGAATATACATGCATATGTATAAAATATGCATTTTCTTTACAAAAAAAATTCTAATTTTGTAATCGGTTATATAAACTACCTGGATATTACTTGACATAAAGAATGTCTTAGAAGGGTAATAAATTTTTTCTTTTGTTCAAAACTACCATTATGTTATAAATTAAGCGTAATTAAGGTAAATTTAAACCAAACCAAACTAGTAACTTTGATGGAGAAGAAAGAAGATTTAAAGAGAATATGAAACTTATATCACTTATGAAAGTGTAACTTTTGTGTCTTTTACCCTTTACAATGGAGGTATATTTATACTACACATATTACTATTCATAATCTACATATAATTATAACTAGTTAGAAATGTTGACAAATTTACCATGAACCAAATATTATATCAACAACCAATTATTTACAACACTTCCCTTGGATGACATTATTTCAGATTAGAGCTCAAATTAAAGTACTGCCATTAAAAACCTTGCTAAAGAAAACCCAGTGGGAAAAAACTTTAGCGAAGGGAAAAAGAGTGCAGTGTATAGTTGACTCCCCCTCATTTAGACATTTGTTACATTATATTCTATGCACATGTTACATTCCGATGCCATGGACATGCTTCCTAAAGATTGCAGTAGGAAGTGCCTTCGTAAAAAGGTTTGTTGCATTGTTGCTGGATTGAAAATTTTTTATTTCAACTTGATGATCTTTTATATTCTCTTGAGTGTACTCAAAAAACTTTGGAGGTACATGTTTTGTCCTGTTGCTCTTGATATATCATTATTTCATTTGAGCGACACATGCTGAGTTATCTTCATAAATTAAAGTTGGACATGTATCCTTTTTTAAGTCCGCATGAAGTTAAAACTAGTTTTGTCATCGATCTTAACCATGTACATTCTCTACTAGCTTCATTTAGTGCAATTACTTCAGCATGATTTGAGGATGTGACAACAAGTGTTTGCTTTTAAGAACACCAGGAAATTACAGTACCTTCATTCATGAATCTATATCCAATTTGAGATCTAGCTTTATAAGGGTCAGACAAATGACCTGCATTTACATAACCAATCAAGCCTTGTTTTGAATTGTTAGGATAAAACAACCCTAACTCACTAGTTCCTCGAAGGTATCAAAAAATATGCTTGATCCCATTCCAATGTATTTTTGTTGAGGATGAACCGAAACTTGCTAGCAAGTTTACAGCGTAAGAAATTTCAGGTCTAGTAAAATGGTAAGATACATAAGAGCTCCAATTGCATTAAGATATGATACTTCTGGATCAAGGACTTCTTCATTTTCTTTGCATGGACGAAATGGATATTTGTAAATATTTAATGAT